TGTTATTATATTTAAAAATATTAATTTTAATGTATAATAAATATAAGTTTTTTATTATTTATTAACTAACAATGTTATTTATCAATTAATTGTTATATTAATATAATTGTTTTTAATAAAAAAATTAGTATTTTAAAAAATAACGTTTAAAATTTAATAAAATATTAATAATTTATTGTGTGATCATAATCATGTCTTTATGTTAAAAAGAGATTATATGTCTTAAATTACAATAAGAAGAATTTATCACAGGAAAAATAAAAAGAAAAGAAACAGGGTAGATAGTCAACAAAGCCTTTAACCCAGATTGCAGCAAAAATCCCATTACAACTGAACTATGAATCTATGATAATTTGAGTTGGGATCCAATTGATGTGATGAAGAAGGTTTAGAACCCAATTGAAAACCCAATTTTAATATTGAGGGCTGGAATGTTTATTGACCAAAGTCCAAAAGCGTGGGCAAGAATATTTCAATCTTCCATTTTTGTTTTTAATAGTGCAAGCAGAGTTTGAGATATCATGATAGACAATCATTTCTAAGGTACCCTTGTATTTTCAAGAATTTATCCAGGTTTATACAGATCTTTTTTTTTTTTTTTTTTTTTTGAACACGAAAAATTGCGGGTAAAAAAAAAAACTTTTAAGTGGTTGATGAGAATTGAATTTTTGAACAACTGGATTCAAATACAAAAGTTTAGGGATGACTCATTAAATCCAAAATGACTGATTCATATAGATTAATTTTTTATATAATTTGTACTTTAATTTTTTTTTTTTGAACATATTTGTACTTTAATTTAATTAATAGTTGCTTCAGTAGTTATAATATTTATTAGATGCAATGACCGATATGAATGGTAAGATTCATTGACCTTTTTTTATCAATTAAGCAAAACTTTTCAACGGGTAAATGAAACATGAGTTGATCATCTGTTAGGCAAGATGCATGCGTGGTCCTCCAGCTAGTGCTTCCTCCACTAAAAATGGATTTTCTTACATGGACTCCTCAACTTTGTTCTTGTACCTTATGGTACGGGACACTGAAGTACTGTAAGCTGAGGCATTTTTTGGCTGAATTTTGGAAGAGAAAAAGCTTTAACCTTTTTAACTGTCCTATAATGTACAAAAGAGTTTGTTGTTTGACATTTTAAATCATGTATTAGTATTAAGAGGGAGCCTAAGGAGTCAGCGTTAGCTTTTGGAAGAAAAAAAAAGGGGGCTACCCAGGCATGCATCATTATCTTCAACTAATATAAAAACTAACAAATAAACTATAATCTCTTATTTTACAATCTAAATTATATTAAATTGCCAAACATGAATCAACGTATTTAATTGTTGAAGTTGAATAATTTAATATAATATAATCTACATAATATATTTTTTAAAAAAATTTAGGTTATTTGTCCTATTCTAAAATTTTCATTTCAAATCCTGAATTTTCATATTATGTCATAGGTTTAATGCTGATATACTTTTAAATTTATGAAATGTCAACTTTTTTTTTTTTTTTAATGATATCACATAAAAATTAACATGTAACTTGTTAGTTGTTACACACTTACACTCATTCCACTTAAGATTTTCTCCATTTTTTGAGGGAAGGGAAAAGCAGCTTTATTTGATAAGTTGTGCTAGCTAGCCTTTCAAATCAGGCGCACTGCGGCAGTGGAGATAAGTGCTGTTTCCATTCGAGTGAAAATCAACATATACCAATTGAAATCCCTGCTTGGGGAAACGCTAGTCCCTAATTGAATATATATATATATACACACACACACACATTAAATTCATTGTCATCACCTAATTTCCGGGATGTAATCAGCTTGCCCTATTTGGCGTCCTCTGAAATCTTGTCAGCAACGCATCCAAATGGTTTTATCCTAAAACTTGGACATTATTTTAAAATTTTCACATTGATAATGGTCTTCCCACTAGGGAAAGTGTTTGGACAGTTGGTTCTCCTTAAGAGAGTGGGTTTTAATTTTATAAGATGAGATATAAATTTGGCGTATAATGTGGCAAGAGTCAGAAATTGTTAATTGCCTTTTTGTGGTGGCTGAATTTTTCAAGGGAAAATATGGAAAATGAGGGGAGGTTTTAAAAGGTGTTTATTAAGATTATCGAATTTTAAGATCGGCTAAAGGTATCATTATTATTATTATTTTGTATTAACCTCCTGGTATCTAGTAACAACATTATATTCGACTAATCTGAAATTGAGCCGTGTCAAACCTCATAAAAGAAAAGCTCTCTCAGCACCTGTTTCTCCATTCACAAGATTCGAATTTGAGATTTTATTTAAAGAAAATTAAGCTCTTTTCACTCAAACCAACAGGTCGTTGATGTTAAAGGTATCATTATTATCACATGGAATGGGGGCTTTTAATTTTGTATAGGAGATAGGAATGATTATAATGTTATATTTTATAGACATGTATGAAATTAATTAGAGAATTTTTTTTCTAGGAGGAGGATAATTAGAGAATTAATTGTAATAAAAATGATTGATTAACTTTAAAATTATCATAATATCATGATGGATTCTAGTTTGATTAGTATTAATGTACACTATTTTTAATCTGATTTTTTTTATTGGTAGTTTGATTCATTGTATTTAAGATAACTTAATGTAGAAAGTAGAAAAAGATCATAAATTTAAATAGTAAACATGTGGATAGAAAGAGAAAGAATTACCAACGATGGGTTGGATCAAGTGGCAAGCGGCTTGTTCCAGCTTAAGCAAGATCTTGAGTTCGAGACCTTGTGTACGCAGCAGTCTTCGTTGGGAGACCCACCCACCATTCTGGTGCGCCACAGCTGGTCGAGTCCGGAGTAGTCGAGGCGAAGCCTCGGAAACCGGATGGGGAACCAAAAAAAA